CACAATACAATGATACGTCAGTACTCATCATTTATTGGTTTCAGAAGGTGTGATGAATACCACAAACCATGAGTACTAAACAGTTTTTCCATAAGGAATAATGTAGTGAGTAACAAGGCAGCCAACACCAACAAGTTGTAGTGTAGGCATTGACAAAAATTTCACATCAAAATGCATTGCCTGCCAAATTTGATGAGTTTCAAAGCAGTTGAGTACCACTGCAATTCAGAAGCAACTAAATATTGCCAGACAATAATTGCTGCTGAATTGAATACTTTTCAGATATTTCAGTCCAGTTTACCATAATCACAGATTAATCTCCAATCTATGATTCAATCCAAAAGTACACCTTTAAACATTCAGACAAGGATTTTTTTTAAAAAAAGCACTGGAAATAAAGCAGAAAAAGAAAATATATTCTTATTGATACAAAAGGAATCAAATAAACCTCAATAAATAAAACGGGGGGAAAAACCATGAAAAAAATAATATTTGGTTGAAATTATCTCAGTGAAATCTACTTGAGAGGGTTAAACAGTGAATTCATTGGAATCCAACCAGTAGTGGGTTGCAGGCAGTAAACCCTGGTATGGGCGTACTGGAGCCTGCCTGGAGCACCGGGTACGGTGCTCCGGAGGGTTCACCCGCCAGCCCGCACTTCTTACCTGTCTTTAAAGCCTTTGGCGCACACGAGCATGGCGCAATGCTCTGCTAAGCAGCTGGAACGTCGTGTGTTGCAGAGGCATCGCTGGAAGGTAAGATGCATGTGTGGCCCACGCGCATTCATGTGGAGGATGCCAGGCCCAGTTGCAACCATACCGGTTGCAACAGGATCCGGAACCCACCTCTGAATGCAACAATCCCATGAACCCCTTACTTAGTTCAATTATCTGTACATTATTATTGGGAGAAAACACCACCAAATACAGTGTACTTGTTAGGAACTGCACATAGTATTGTGCTGAAATTCTTTGCTAGGTTTATTTGTTTATTTTAGAAAATGTATATAGTAACCATATTACTAAAGGTGATCAACCCTGACTGCTCCTTAGAAAACCAGATCCTGAAGATGAAACTCAAAATACTTTGGCAACCTAATGAGAAGGAAGGACTCACTGGAGGAGAGCCTAATGCTGGGAAAAATTAAGGGCAAAAAAAGAAGGGGACAACATAGAATGAGGTTGCTGGATGGAGTCACTGAAAAAGTTGGCGTGAGCTTACATAGACTCTGGAGGATGGTATGGGATAGGAAGGCCTAGAGGAAAGTTGTCCATGGGGTGTCCAGTGGGTTGGACACGACTTCACAACTAACAACAACAAACCATCTTATATATGATCCCTGATGACTAACAACAATCATTTAAAGCAGCATAATAAAACATCTCTAAATCAAGCAAAATTAATATAATCATTATACAGTGACCAGGGCACAAAATAACAAACTCAACCAGAAAAACCACACTTGTATCAGACTTTTCTAACACCTCAATTTACCAGGACTTTAGAATTTTCTGGAAGGCAAGGATCTCTGTATATTAATGGAAACTGCTCTATAGGGCGGGTGTCACAAGAGAAAAGGCACAATCCTTGGACTCACAAGACAACATTGTGTAATAGAAAGAAACTGGGACAAAGGCCCTTGGAGGTAGACAGTCTTACAAATAACCTGGTATTATGCCACACAGGGCTTTAAGGATAATAACCAATGCCTTGAATTACACTGAGAAAACAACTGGAAGTCAGTACAACTAACACAACAGTGTAATCTAGGCCAACCTTAGCTACCCAAAACTACATTATGCATGTTGCTGTGTTCTGGAACAATGGAAGCTCCTGCGTCAATATAGAACATATTATAAACAAATGGTCCGAGAGTAGTGAATAATTTCAATTTCAATTGATTGTTCACCGTCAGTTACAGATTGATCTAAATGGGAAGTGACAAAGATATAAGTGACAATGAGCAGTGAGTTATAGAGAATTAGTTTTGCCTTTATATAATTTTAAAAATATTTTGATTATTTTATTACAGTCACAGACCAAAAGACAGAAAAAAATCATGTAAGATAATGCTTGACCTGAAACCACCACTGAGAATTTGAATTTTTTTCAAACAGGATTTAAACAGAAGAATTGTACCTTTCTTGCTAGCTAGGATTTTTGTCCCCATCCTTTGGAATTCAATACGAATCAGTTGAGAGAAAGAAAAATAGTTTGCACTACATGTTGCAATAAAACATGGTTGGTTTGCAGCTCTGTAAACACAGGCATCGATTAACTCAGTAAACCACAGTGAATACTCAACCATAGATACGTAACTATATCATGTGTAAGTATAAACATGGAGGAAGTTTTTCTGTTTTAATTTAGAGATGAGCAAACCAAATCATTTTTTCATTAGTTAGGGAAACACTGAGAAATTTATCCAGAAAGTGGCATCTATGGTGGCCCTTACAGATGCCATTTTGTTACTACAATTAATGTAGCATTTGTTCAGTGTGACACATTTTCTAAAGCAGTTTCATCCAATATTAATCTTCCATACTTCCATACTTCAGCCACTTCAATAAAGATATTTATAGCCAAATAGTTCAACTAAATCCATCCATTAGGGAGTCCATCATTATCCCTGAAATAGTTATGCAATTACTTCAATCTTCTGCCATCACAGAACACTGGTAGTCCTTGATCTGCAACCACATTTGAGCCCAAAATTTCCATTGCTGAGCAAAACAGCTGTTAAATTAATTTTGCCTCATTTTATGACCTTTCTTGCTACAGTTGTTAAATGAATCACTACAGTTGTTAATTTAGTAACACAAAAAAATTATCTGTCCGAAGGCCCCAGGATACTGCAACTGTCATAAAGACATGCCAGTTGCCAAGCATCTGAATTTTGATCACATGACTATGGGGAGGCTACCTTTTTTTTGCAAGCTATAAAGAGTACAACAAAAGGACAACAGTTTTGAAAAGGGGCAGTTCAACAAACTTCAGTGTTATTAGATCTTCCACCTTTTGCTGTAATCAAGAGGTCCCAAGCAATGAGCAGTGCAATACAGTCTGGTGTGCATTAGATAATTTTAGGAGAACAGCTCAGTGCCACATGATACGACGTCACCAAAAGCTAATCTGAATAGCTAGTCTCCTCCCACATTCCTTCACGAGACTTTTAGATCAAGCGTACTTCATACGGGGGTTTTCCCTTGTCCTTTTTTTCTTTCGTCGTCTTGCTTTTTCGAAAATATCGAAATATCTCGAATGTTCGCCAATGGGCTCATCGGGGTAACCTTTAAGCTATAAAATCAAAGTGGGATGCCAAACCCGAAATGACGCGATATGAAATCGCATCCGTGTGTAAAGGTGCACCTGCACTTTGCAGCAAACATAACAACCTCGCTGTCCCTTTTTCCTTTCCGCCATCTCGCGCCCTCCCCCGCACAAAATAAGGGGGTGTATGTGAAGGACCACATCCGGGTTTCACTCACCGATCATGGCCAGTGCTGGCAATGTGGGGGCGCTCTGAAACCCTGATCTGTTCACATTCGAACTGCAAAAGCCAAACTTGAGGATCTACGCTCCCTGCAGGCCGGCCAGACGGTAAGGTGCCCAGTGCGCAGGCGAGCAAAGCCACGTTACAAAGCGCTTTGGGAAATGTAGTGCTCCACCTTCCTCCTGCCGCGGGAGGACTTCGCGTGTAAATACATGGAATCAAATGTATCTCTCAATCGGCCGGGCTACCTTCCTTCGGTACTAGAGTCTCCTGGTTCAACGTATTCAGCTTAAGGGAGACTATTTCAGTTCTGCCTTAAGAATTTCTCCCTTTGAGATCGAGATTGCTCGCGCGCTTTGCGCATCCTTTTCTGTGCCACCGCAATATTTTTTTATTATAATAAAGAGAGACTACAGCATAGTTCGAACTAATTCTTTGCCAACCTCCACGCCACTGAAGAAATGAGACTTAAGGACACAAACGCTTTTTAAAAGGGCAGCGAAATGAATTCAATTCCTTCTCTGGATGTTCCTAGTTTTTGGGGGGTTGCTTTGTTTTTGTTTTCCATCAGCTTATATAATAAGATGGAGAACAAGTACATTATTCTGTATTGGATTTTAAGTTTTTTTTTTTAAAGAGTCCATCTGACCAAACTTTTCATGTTAAAGCAGGAATGTTCAGACCATGAGTAACATTTAAAAAAACCTCGCAATTTTTAAATTTATGTAGCATAGGGTTCTACTTTGCAATTCTTTGCTTTCTCACTGTAAAAGCCACACCAGTCCAATTATAATAGAAGGCGTTGACGGATCAATTATGGCAGTTTTCAAAACGTAGTTTTTCTTTGTGCTTGTTATGTTTGTGGTGATTTGGATTTACATATTATTGTTTGGGTTGACGTTGTAGATGCCCTAGAATCTGGGTTACAAATTATTACATTTGTAAAATAAACAAATGAAATATTGCCATTCCTGCTCTTTTTGCAAGAAATGAGAAGATACGCTAGTCGAGAATGAATCCCATAGATTAGAATGTCAGTAGAATTTATTCGTCAGGAAACGCGCAGGATTGAATTAATAGCCCCTTCATTTTCGGGAATTGATTTATTTAAAAAAGTTTTAAATCCTTCCAAATGTCACGATGTTATATATGAGGATAATCAATTCATTTGCTCCCCTTTTCTAAACTAGGTAACTTTCCTCATGTAACTGACAGCGCTCACATTTTCTGATTCAGAACAAACTACTTGGTTTTCAAAACAAAACCACTCATAGGAAAGTTTTGGGCCATAAGACTAATAAAAACGACCGAGCGGCCAGCCTGGTTTTCGCGTCTGAACCCTGCTACGTTACTACTCTTTTCATGCCTATACTGTAAACTGAGGGCAGAAGAATTCAGCTTCTGCATTTCGTGACTTCACGGAGTCGCGTGACTTCAGTTACGCCGAATGCGCATGCGTATGTAAATCGAATCCGCTCAGCGGTACCGAAGTTTCCGATAAGGGCGGAATCCTTGTGCTCCCGCGGCTGGTTGTTGATACGTTGCCCAGCAACCGATTCCTAGAAGCGAATTGGTGTTAGAAACAGGCATATACTTCCCCCCCTTCCCCTCCTCCTCTTCCTCGAAGCCACGCAGGAGCCTTCCCAGGGGTAAACCAAGGGGTGAAAGGAGCAAATACAAAGGGACGAAAATTAGGAATATAATTTTTTTTTGGCTCCAAGGTAGAGGGGGGGGGAATCTGTTTTCGTATCCAAATAGTTTCCTTTTAAAATCCCGACCACCAATCCCACGTGCAGCAGCAAGCAGCCTCCGGAGAAGATGGTGGCGGAAAAAGAGGGTGTAAGCCCCCCCAAACTGAGACCCCAGCAGCTGCAGGAGCCGCTGCGACACGCAAGAAGAACCAAGAAGCAGGTCAGCGATGGATTCACCATCAAAGCAATGATGAAAAATACCGTGGTATGTTTCGATGCAGTTACAATAATAGAAGGTTTTCTGACCCTTTGGGTTTGTCATTTAAAGTGCCCGTGGGAGGAAGGGTTGGCCTGCCGTTTGCAATGGGTGGGGAAAGGACGGGATGACAGCTTGAGGAGGGGGGGGATTTGCCTGCCAGGTCACCGAAATGCTGCTTAAGCGAACTTCACCCATCAACCATTACAGATTAACAGAGTTGGAAGGGACCTTGTAGGTCATCTAGACCAACGCTCTTCCCAAGCAGGAGACTTTACACCATTTCTGACAAATGGCCGTCCAGTCTCTTGTTGAAAGCTTCCAGTGATGAAGCTCCCACAACTTCTGTAGGCAACTTCTGTTCCATGGGTTGATTGCTCGTGCTGTCAGAAAATTTCTCCATATTCCCAGGTTGAAACAATCCTTGATCAGTTTCCATCCCTTTTTCCTTATCTGGCCTTCAGGTGCTTTTGAAAATAGCTTGACCCCTTCCTCTCTATGGCGGCCCCTCAAATATTGGAACACTGCTATCATGTCACCAAAGTCACACTTGAAACAATTTCCTTTCTGTTTCCCATCCAAATACGCTAACAATCCATCCCACTGCTTCCCATGGTTAATGAGTCTGACTTGAGATCCAGTAGATCCCATACACTATGCTAGGAGCCACCCATATTATAAGAAGTTGTTCTTAATTGAGAGATATTGCTCTTTCTAGCTTTTGATCTGAAGTGTTTATTCTGTGTTTAGCTAGCTTAATGACCTGCTTATTTTTAACCCAATTCTTTCGTAATTTTTTGCACTTCTAATTATTATGATTTTTTCCTGTACTACTTTTTTTGAATTTTTTTTATTTTAATGAAACAAAAACACAAAAAAAGAATCATCCTTCATTACATCTTGTAGAAAACGTGTTGATTGGTTACAGATAACTTTCATGCATTTCTTCCACAGTCATTACTTATAGTTCATATTAAGTCAAAAATCTTTGTAAATCTTACTATCAATGTACCACAGTTCTCATTTGACTACAATTATTTGAACATGCTTTTACCTCAAATCATTCATACTCAAACACACACACACACACAC